GGAAGAAAATAAATCTCTCCCACGAATTTCGAGCTTCCCATACGCTATCGGTATAGGTACAACGTGCTCGTATGCGCGTAGCACCGATCGGCCAAAGCTCTCGAGTGCGCCAGCTGATGAGAGGGGGGAAGGGAGGTGAAAAAAAAGCTCGACTTTTTGCCGAGAGCACATGTTGCGCGGACGTCTTCCTTGATTTTTCACAGCTGCATAAGTCGGCGAGTGTTACGTTGTACGCACACGATGGGCATCATCATCCGATCTCGAGTACCTATCATGTGTATGTGTACATATTATACGAAAATATTCGGTTTTCCCAGTTAAATCATACGATGCGCGTGAAATTTTTCAATTTTGTAACTTTCGACAGGATAAAAGCTCTTGACCTACATGATTAAAAAACACGAGTATTAACAAAGCTCGCACGCTTATATCTCTCGATCTTTGATTATGTTACGTACACACATGTTCGCCTCGACCAATATTTGCATTGACATCACACTATATCATGGTCAAGATCGACACACGTGGATCAACCGTATCTTGATTTATTATTGCGTATAAGATTGACCCGAGATCGAGCTACATGTGCTCAAGGTAACTCATCTCGTATAAAGCTCCGTTTGCTGATCGCAACGAAATTCAAATAACCATCCAAGTATCGATAAACAGTGGATGACGAATTGTAACGGGTACCTATGACAAAAAAAAAAAAAAAGAAAAAAAAAGATATATTCAACATACCTGTACAGGTATAACTATTGAGTGAATAGATATTATGCACTGTACCGATAAATCGGTATTTAAAATCGATAAACCACGTATATGGCGTGCCTATACCTACGTTTGATCGCTCGGGCGCATATATTGCAAAACTTATGAGCTAGCTGAAGATGCAAATCTCTACTATCATTTGGCAATATACATACGAGTAAAGCCGAGGAATTAAGGGGGGGGGGGCAAAAATCAAAGTCCAAGTCACTCGATCCATTTATCCATCCTTACAAGTGCCAAGATCCGAGATCATTAAAAAAAAAAAAAAATTGTTTGGCTGTGCTTAACACTTTCCGTTACCTACATTGTTTTTATAGACTATAAACCACACTCAAAAAGTCGCCCAGTATCTGCTCTTTGTCCGATCGAGAGATGCCACCGCGTCAAGGAGTTGGAAAAAGAAAGGGAGACCACTCGAGGAACGCAGCAAGCCTTTACACGTCCTCTCGCTCTCCTGTCCCTGTATAATCAAGCAATATGGTTTTTGAAGAATGGCCAGGGGGGGGGGGAGAACAAGTACTCCCCGCCACACGTTGTATATATATATAATACACGTACAGAATTTTGTTTCCTATAGAGTAAATTTCCAAAGCTAATCCGCTATTGGAAGGGCTTTGGTCCTTTTTTTTATGTTCGATCGACAATGCACACCTACCTGCGCTTACAAATCACAAAATTATCGTCTCTTCTTAGAGGTGTCGTGGTGCCCTACTTATGTTGAAATACGATTTCAATTCATCGACTAAGTATACTGATAGGATTATTTTTTTTTTTTTATACCAACAAAACGTGAAATCAACAGGCGAACGATGATAATACGGAAAGAAAAAAAAAATCTTTGGACAAAATACGCGTGCATTGTAACACATACACGGAAGATAAGGTTGGATGGGAAAAAAATATATAGGTGTGACGTATAGTAATTATCATGGGTAACGTGAGCGCTGTATACGATAACCTGATAATATATGGAGTTTGCATTTGGCTCTCTTTTATTTGTTTTTCCAATGACTCTCTCTCTCTTTTTTTTACTGCGTACTCCTCTTCGCTTCCTCTCTTTTCCAACCCTCTTTTTTTTCACACAATGCGCACGAGGGACCTAATGTGAACAGCTGTTTTCGTTGTGGAAAAAAAAAAAAAAGGATTTCCTTCCCTCCAGCCGATTTTCCACCATCCACAAAAATCGCTCACATACGCCCCGTAGTCCGACCGGAGCATAAAAACGTGGGGGCAACTAATAGACGTGTGTCATCGGTCTCATAAATTTGATTAATTGGATCCCCGTCGAGTACCAACTTCCTCTCCGAAAGCGTTTCATCACCGCGATATTGAATCATATACTCGTAATGGTCAATCGGAGGCGGCGTGGCGATAAGGAAGGGATAAATAAGCGATTTCGAATGAATGAACGCGAAGCGGGAAAAAAAAAAAAAAAAAAAAAATTGAAAAAACCAAAGATTAGTATATTACGTGTATAGGAGACGAGGATGGTTTCGGTAGATAACGAGCTTGCGCGCCGACGACAGCTGTACACCTTCTATACTATGGTTTACGGCTCTTTATTGCGGACGCGCGCTTCCTCCTACCCCTTCGCCGCAGACCCGAGGGAGCGCTTTCAGATTCAATGGACGAATTGTCAAATTTTATCGACTCAATTCGTTTTCTATCTGCCCGGGCTCGAGGGGGAGGGAAAGTACAAATATTGGCTCTATGGTCCCCCGATTGGTTTTGCGATAAGTATACGTTCGATGGATTTCCATAACTGTGGCGGCTCGGCCCTTTCAAGCTCCAAAATTCAAAACGCTTTGTTCGAAACTAATTCGCCCAGTTTTAAACGTAGGGGGGGAGGGAAAGCTCGTTACCGGTCATGTACGCAAAGAGAAATGATCCACAAGAAAAATGGGAGACCGAGAGACAAAAAGCATGTACATGTGTCGCCGCTTCCGCCGAGCAAAGGAGAGACGTGGTCTCCCGTGCAATATGTATATACTATATTCATTATACTCTCAAATGTAATCTCGAGAGGCATTAAAAGAGGCGCGGGCGCGGTAAAACGTTCCCACGGGCAAAGTATACGTACGCATCAAGAGCAAAGTGGCGAGGATTTTTTGATAAGAGGAGTACGGGTGTTTGAACGGTCCAGCCGTCTTTGCATTATTTTTCTTTTTTTTTTTTTTTTTTTTTTCCACCGTCAGCGTGCACCTTCTTCTTTTGCGCGTCTCTCGGTCATACGTATACAAACAGGAACACGCGTTTCCGGCCGCCGAGCGCCGATCGTACGTGTATAGCAGATCGCAGTTATTTACATACTGACCTGATTTTCGTCCTCTCTCGGCGTGCACCGTCAGCTCAAAGTCGTCAACACCGAAGCTCGTGGAATTTTTGTTGGGATCGAATAGAGTACAACTAGATTTTTTTTTTTTTTTTTTTCATTTCAATCGTTTATTTTTAATCAAAATACCAACGCACACACACACACGCGCGCGCCAGCATCTTCATCGTGTATTGTATCCTAAGGTATGTTTGCAATAAAATATTTTCAGGTATAAATAAATATACGTATACATCTAAGTACAAAAGTTGGGTCCGTATAGCAGACGCGCACATTCGTATAGTTACGGTGTACATATTTATTTCTACGTCGCGGTATAAAACAAAAAAATTTTCTTCGCACTTCCTCTCTCACGCGTAATACATATACCAGGTACGTGTATCATACAATAACGATATTTATCTCTCTTTTAAACGTGTACAAAGAAATCTTTTACCAACAGTCCATGTATTTGTCTATATTTGTGAACGGGTGTCAAAAACAAAAGCTAACAAAAAAAAATAAAATAAAATAAAAAGGGGTAAACATCAGGGAGGGAGGCAAAGATAGCCGAACAAAGGAGAGGAGAGCGCGGCAGTCCATTATCTCTGGGGCTCTGTATCTGTAACAGCTGTATAGGCAGTCGATCGACGAGAGCACATCACAGAGAGGAAAAAAAAAAAAAAAAAAAAAAAAGAAAAATCGGGGCGCGGGTTTATTTGAAAAGCGCGCTCGGTAGAGATCGGTATATGTAAACGCGGCGCGGATCGACGCGTTTATACACCGCGTGGACTCGATCGAAGGGGGAGTTTGTATTATTAGATCGAAGCTGTCTCTCTCTCTCTCTCTGTTTCGGCCTATCTTTTTCTTCTCCGCACCCAACGCAGAGAGCATCAGCCAAGAGAGTTAAGGTTTGTTTGGCCTGGAAATCTCCAGCCGGCTGTCATGGAATGATGTCATGGAGTCTCGATTATATACGCGATCGTTTTCTTTCTTTCACTCGCACGCACACATTATTATCATTTTATTATATCTCTCGCCCTCGCACATGTACGCGCGCACCATACATACATATATTATAACTATACGTGCCTGTGGCCTCGAGTACTCCTCGATCGCTTCTTTTTCCCCTCGTTGGCACCGGACTTCTGTTAAACATTAATCACCATTTCATCCAGCTTTTGGTGGAGATACCACATCATCCCCCTACCCCCTTCCTACCGATACTTGGACCATTAATGTCATGACTTTATGCTACATATTTATGTTTTGTCGCGTAATTTTTATACCTTAAACATATGCTGTAAAACTTATTCTAAACGTAAATAATATACACTCGTAGAACACTAATTATCTGCTACGTGTAATATGTATGGATGCGTGTGCGTGTTTTCTGTCTTTCGATCACTGTAATTAAAATAATGTAGTTTATATATATATAATATGTATTTGGCTAAATCGGTGCAACCAACAAATCGTCACAACGACGATGCGTGCTCGTGACCATTGCACCGTTTTTTGTGGCTGTATATAGGACATTAGTCAGCACTCACGTGAACGTAATCATTCGTAACTTTTACGGGATGTAGAGAGAAACACACCTCTAATCTATTTGTATGCGTGTAACTGATGTACGCTTCGATTATTCGAAAAGCAATCCATCGTGTACTTATGTTACGCTACTGAACGCTCGCGTTTAATCTTATCGCTTTATTATTATTAAAAAAAAAAAAAAAAAAAAAAAAAAAAAAAAAAAAAAAAAAAAAAAAAAAAAAAAAAAAAAAAAAAAAAAAAANAAAAAAAAAAAAAAAGTAGAAGTTATACCCGCAACGGCTCGTGTGTTTTTCTGTTGTTTTTTTTTGGAGTATCGAATAGAACAAACACGCTCGTGCCTCGAGACAACAACATCGAGTCCGAATCAGTTGTAGTTGGGCCACTCGATGCCGGTGAAATGCCGGTAGGGCGCATAAGCGGCCACGTGCTGGTGTCCCACCTGGAGGTGGTGCTGGGATATGTACTCGACGGGCGGCAGCGGAGGTTGTAGCTCGTGGTACCTCATCATGTCCTCGCGGCTACGCAATTGTTGTTGTTGTTGTTGTTGTTGTTGTTGTTGTTGATGCTGCTGCTCGTCCCAACAACGACTCAATTCGCTCGACATGCCACCCCCGACCTGTTGCTGCTCGTTGTAGTGGCGCTTGTTCAGCCTGTCCAAGCACTCCTCGTCGTACCTAAGAAACAAGAAAACAAAAAAAAAACCGACCCGGCCGATTATGCATACGTTTTCCTTTTTTATTTTACAAGTGTTTGTTCCCCTATGTGTAATTTTCCTTCCTTCCTTCCTTCCTTCCTTATATAGGTTTTCCCTAAGCAAACAGGAAGAAAAGAAAGAAAAAGACGTAAAGTAAAGAAAACGCCGGTGTGGTCACCTGTTGAGGAGCCACTGGTGGTTGGGCGGGTTGTACTGTGCCACCTGTTGCTGTTGGGTGAGGTACTGGTCGAGCTCGATGCCCTCGACCTCGCACTCGGGCAGGCCCATCGACAGCCCGAGATTCAACGTGCCCAAGTTGCCCAGCTGCTCGTCCTCCAGGGGCAGGCTCTCGGTCAACTCGAGGTAGCTACGGAGATCCGCCTGCTGCTGATTGTGGTGGCTCTGGTGGTGATGCTGACCAAGGTCCGGGGGGGAGCTCTGCGGGTGGCTGCTCGTCATGTCCTGGTGCTGGTACAGCTGACCACTCGCGAGGAGGTGCTGGTTCTGTTCGCAATTTATACACACCGTGTATTGTAAAAATGCGCCCAAGCTAGAGGAGGAGGAGGAGGAGGAGGAGGACTTGTGTAGCGCTATACGGACCTGTTGGCCGACGTAGTGCTGGCCTCGGGGGGTCGTGGGTGGCGTGGGGGGCGACATGCCCTGGGAGGGGGTCGTGGGTGGCGAGGACGAGCCGCTCGTCTGGGGCGAGCTGACCGCGGCGTCGCAGCTGTTGGGGTCCTCTTGCTTGAGGGTCCGGGAGATGCTGCTGAAGGCCAGGCCGCACTGCTGAGGAGCCGTGGCGTTGCCGACCGTGGGTGGCATCGGCACCGCGGCCGAGCTCGACGGTCTCGAGTTGTGGTTGTCGCGGCAACTCGAGGCCCCCTGTTTTTTGCGCCGCGGCTGGTACTTGTAGTCCGGATGGGTCCGCTTGTGGATGACGCGCAGCCGATCGGACTCTTCGACGAATGGCTTCTTGTCGCTGTCGGACAATTGTCTGCAAACAGGGTTGTATTTTTTTTTTTTTTTTTCTTTCTTTTTTTTGCAACGTTCAAAGCGTTGGTGTGTGGATGTATTTATAGGTGGTCCGTGGGTTGTCGTCGCACACGCGGTCGTAAAGGTGTTGAAACTGTTGAAACGAGCTAAAAGCATCGATCGCACGGGTAACCAAAAGAAAACGGTGATGGAGGCGCACGTGTGCAGGTACATAACATGTGGTAACTGTATGTATAATGTATACATTGTATATTACGAGAGAAGCGCCACGACAGGCATAAAGGAGATAAGTGCGCGTTTCGTGCCATACGCGCTAATTGAATCAGCTTTTTTTTCAGGAAGGTGTTAAGCCAAGATCTTTTATTGAAGTTTTACAAACGCATGTATTTTGCCACACGCGCGCGCGCCCGAGTGTCCGGCTACTGTATTTTTTTTTCTACTAACGACAGTTGATGCAATATACATACCGATGGGTTATTGGAAGAAGTAAAATTATTATCTCCGACAGTCATGGCACGGATTTTTTTTAAATCTTGCTGGCGTCGCGTGGAAATCAATCGCGCTTGTATCGTATCTGTAATCGTTTTCGAGAAACGACCACCGCCCGCAATCCAAGTGTTTCCACTAACTAATAACTTTATCGCGCAAATTCGCTCAAATTCCCGGATCCCCGCGTTTTTATCGAGATGACGCATTCCATCTCAGTTCTCTCGAGGATCGGTGATTTATCAAACGACCATTTTTTAAATTATTATTAACACGGAATTTGTTTCCACGACCACATGAATGACAAATTTTTCCAGCTATAGGTCTTTCTCGGTTTTAACTGGTACATTATAGAGATAATCAATACTTATACCTATACTGTTATAATTGTGCGCGGCAAAGAAATCGCGACCACGAGATGAGTGCGTGGGTACAAACAACTTTTCAGGTATGTGTGTCTCCCCAAAGTATCCTGGTGTAGCTCTACTAAGCGTAGACGAAAAAAAAGAAAAAAAAAAAATCGGGTTACCCTCGATATTCTAATACGGGCTGTTACGTAATAGCTTATTTATATATACAATTACGCAACGTGTATATAATGCTACACATGTACATATACATACATAAACGTGAAGGTGAGTGAGCTGTAGCGCGTGTTTTTTTGCCAATGTTCCCCCGAGTTTTTTGTCGTCGGATGACAATCGCGTGTGAGAACTAGAGCAACGACAGGGTATAGACGAGACAGCGTCACCGAGACTTATATATATATATATACACATCGAGTAGGGTATAAATATGTACAGTCACTCGAAAATCCGAGAGGGTTGACCCTGACGGCACGACGAGAGACGAACGTGTCGGCCGCTGATACGTGCATCTGGCTACACGGGCAAAAGAAAAAAAAAAAAAAAAAAAGTTCAACAGCTCTGCAGTCTGTACATACCCGTGGGTGCCGTCGAGGAGACGATGAAGGAGAAAGATACGCGCGAGAGACCAAAGCTTTCGCTCGCTGAAGGCGCGTGCTTTTAATACCAGCGCCACGAGACGCTAGATAAAACTTGCGGTCGGACGTATCCTATATACTCCGTGAATTAGAGAGATGTGCATAGTGAATAATAATAAAGATGATCTAAAGGTATTAGGTACCTACAGGTGTAGTACGTTTGCATGGTTTTTAACATTTACATACGAATCTTTGATGCGCGTGTCAATTAATGGCACACTCGCTCCGTCAGCCTCTCTCGGTGACAAATCAGTAGAGCAGTAACCGATTATGTTAACTTGAAATCAAAGGCTTATCTTCCACAGATGGTTAACGCGGTTAATTTGTAAAAAAAAAAAAAAACCAAAGAGAAAATAATACTTCCTCGCTTTGATTGATTCAGGCAGGAAGGGTATACATGGCACACGTATAGTATATCACTGAAGAAATATACGATCGAGAGAGAGAGAGAGAGCTCGTGGCGTATGACATTTAACATATATATAGTAGCAGCCCGGGGATCAGGCCAAAAGCTTGCTTTTTTCGGTGCTCCCTCAATCACGCGTCGTACACTCTTGCCCATGGGAATGCGCCTACCTCCTTGCGCGCCATACTGTATAGGGCCCCGAGCGCGACTGCCAGTGATCTCCGGAGAGGACTCGACGCTTCAGGATAAGTGTACACGAGTACAAGAAACACTAACCAGAACCTGCTGCTGTCATATATACATGTATTATCATACCCGCGGAGCGCGATGATACATCGCACGAGTGTATGATGCAGTGTAGACGGGGATTAAGCGCGTGTGTATAATACCCGCAGCTTCTCGGTAAGCGGAAAAACACGTCTTGGCGTAATCCCCGTTTCCGAAATCTGGTCTCTGTCGCTCTTCTCCCTACATTATATATTATTACCATGAGGTCCATAACGTGATCCATACGCTCGATGGAAAAAAAAAAAAAATAAAGCAAATAGATTCCGCCGATTTCTCGCTCGGAGATCGGTAAGGTTCGATAAGACGATTTTTTACTTTACGAGCTCCTCGACGCCCTACACCTATGCAAGTGCGATCCTCCCGGCTCCCCTCGAGCGCGACGAAAACTGTAAAGGGACCCGTGCCCTCTTGATTCCCGCGAACTCATCGGGATCTCGGCTCTTTATCCCGGGCCGCTCTCGATTAACGCAGCGCGGGGCCCATACAGCTCCTCCTCCGCACGTGTCTTCAATAACGTCCGATTTCCGCTCCCCTGCCGATCAGATAAAAGCCCGGAGCTCTTTCGCCGTACGTATATTATCCACTTACTGCACCAGAGCGCGGACGAGATTAATCGCGAGTCAGCGGGAGGGTGGGGGCGATGCAAACGTGGAAAAGGTTAGCCGAGATTTCCGCGTAAGCCGCGGTGAAGCGTGCGCCACGGCAACCGATCTGGGACGAAAAGGCTCTCTCTTTTTGCGCGTCGAGAACAAAGTGAAAAATTTCCGACCAATGAGTAAGTATAGGTGTACGTAAGTGTCGCAGACTTTGTTGCTCGATTAGCCCCAACCGATACGTGTCTGTCTTCTCGATGGACGCGTGTCCGCATGTGCTCTTCGCATGTCGTATCGTATAGTTGGGCGTGTTTGCACTCTCTCTCCCCTAAATGTGTCACCTATATGTATAACGCGTCGGAGGGAATTGCAGCGCACGTGCGGGGCGCCCCGGGCAAGCAGATACGGAAAAATTCACCTGACGTTCTTGCACAAGGCAGGTATTGTGATTCCAAGTGTAAGGAAAAAAAAAGAAGAAAAAAGCACGTCTTTTCGTGATATTTCTCGCTTTCGGCCTTATCGGGAGAATTCGGGGACCAGCTGCCGGGTCCCTCTGCGTTGTGTAGCTGTAAAACGCAAGCTAGGGGTGTGCTCCGTGCCCGACGTGTCTATTGCCGGATACAAGGCTTTCGAGGACAAACGGGAAGCCAACCACCTGGAACTGTAACAACGAGTCTTCCCTTATCGCTCCGGCCGGATCCCGCGCCTCGAAGGTGATTTTTGTTTCCAACTACCTCATTTTTTAAATTAATTTTTTTACCGATTTTAGGGTTGAATCGAAAAAAAAAAAAGGTTGGTCTCGACACTGTACACACGTATACGGGTTTAAAAAAATATTATGCAAGGCCAAAACACCGAGCTGAAAAATATAGAGACTAAGAAAACGAGCTTGACGAATCGAGCGTGATTTACGAGCGATCCCTTTTTTTCTTTTTTCACCCTTCCGGAACACATCTGCCACGTGCGGGCTCTGAAACTATTAAGTGTACGGACAATGGCACTAAAACTCCATACAGTATACTTACTCATCCTCACGAGTGCGCGTTGTGACTCTTGGTGACGCTATTTTTCATCCACATGTACACATAAACACTACTTTTTTTTCGACCGATGCCGTATAGTCATATAAGTATACACACGTCCAGGGTGACATTTTTTCCTCGCGCGCGTTTCCACCGACTCGCAGAATCGCGCGTATTTATTTTTCCTTGGGGCCAAGATTTTTCCTTCCCCGAGCTTGGGTTTCTGTCCTTTTGTATCTCTCTTGCGTAGACCACATGCGAATAAAAAAAACCACCGCCCGTGTATAGCCGAGAGTCCAGTATATGTGTTATTACACGTGTATATACATGGCAAGTGTATGGAAGAAAAAAAAAAAAGGAGGAGACGAGGGAATAGACCAGGGGAATGCCACTTTCTCACGGTTCGCTGGCTTCGTGCAAATTGGCCGTCTAACTCGTGCGCGTTTAACTCGTAGACGCGAAAATGAGGATCTTTACCTCGGCTGTACACCACAAACACGGTTTTTTAAATACATGCACTCTCCTGGCCACGCGCGTCACGCGAACTACTATGCATTTTTTTTAACGCTTCTATTTGCGTTTACAATCAGATTATTCGTACTTGAATGATGTGGCGCAAAAGTCCCTCGATTTTTGAGTTTGCAATAGATTTTCCAACACTCGAGTGATAGGTACAACGTACAATAAAAGTGTGGGTACATGCATGAGAGGAGAGAAATATAAGCACAGTCGACTTACTTCCACAGTTTGCCGAGGGTCTTGGACAGCTCGGCGTTGTGAAGCTGGGGATGCTGCTCGGCCAGTTTCTTCCTCGCCGCCTGAGCCCACACCATAAAGGCGTTCATCGGCCTCTTCACGTGGGCCGCTCTTTTTTCGTTCGAGCCCCTGCGAACAGCCATCAATCGTATTATACATTTGTACAACCCTCCCGCACCCCCTTGTTTTTTATTACCCCCCCCCCCATGTCTTATAGACACATTTTTTAAGTGGCTACTTTTGTTTTTTCTTTCCGTTTTGTCCGGAGAATTAACCCTGTCAATGACACAGTTGTATTAAAATAATGATGTCTCTTTTGTTTGTCCGCCCCCCCCTTTTTTTTTCTTCTTCTTCTTTTGTTCGATACAAAATCACCAAGCCTGCGTTTTATCGGCTTTCTAATGGCATCTACGAGGGCGTTAGTGTGGTTTTAATTTGTTCGGTGATGATAACGGGGAAGTGAGCGTCAAGAAAAAATAGTGTCCGATTTTTTCGAACGCCAAACAAATCATTCAAAACAGCTGCGGAGTTTAGTCAGGCAATGGAATATACAATCGGGAGAATCTCGTCAATGCTCGAGTCCCGATGGTGATGCAGTTCATGCAGTCAAAATCTACCACAGAACTCGGGGGAAGAAGAAAAAGGGGGGAAAAAAAAAAGAAAAGAAAAGATGCAGGTTCAAGGACTGCAGAAAGCCACTCGTAACGCAATGACGCGCGAGAATCCCATTAACGAGTGTGTATAATACAACATTGTATGGTATCCGATTTTCGAGAGCCCACATATGAGGGGATACACCTTGCTCATATGTAGGTATGAAAAAAAGAGCCCCCCCCCCCACCTCACTTGGAATAACATTAGACGAGTGCATACTCTCTCCGATGCCCTCCTCGCCCCTTCACCCTTTTCCACTCTCGGGTGCGGATGACTTCATAAAATGACTTTTCCTCGCGTGCCCACACGGATTTTAAGACCCAGCGCATATAACGGTTGACTGACACGTGAACCATCTTTCCCCGGAGCGTGGATGTATCATCTTTTTTTTTTTTTTTTTTTTTTTTTCTTCTTTCGTGTTACATCGCCATGGGGCTGTTATTTTTTCTATGAAGACGAAGAAAAAACTGTGGGGGGGGGCGAGCAAGTGATAATTAGCGGCCGTCCCTATCTTTGCTTTTTCATACGCGTGGGATTATCGACGCAGATGTCATTGAATCGATAACTACATTGATTATGCCTTATTTTGTCCAACATTCACACCCCTCCTTAACTTAATATATATACAGACAATAGGTAAGTACCCTCGCATATTTCTCTTTATCCCTGAAGGCAACCCTCTCGTAAATAAACACGCACTAAAATTCGAGTATGTATCATATATACAGAGCCGCGATAAGGAGTGCATGCATCGGTATGCGACATTTTTCTCACCCCCGGCTATCTATCTGTACGTATATATGTATATACATATACATGTTAAAATGTTTTCGATAAATCACGACTAAATATTGACACTGTGCGTACATTTTCTCACAGCGGCATTTGAGAATGTAAAACAAAAGAAAAAGGAAAAAAAAAAAACAAAAACAGACAACATCAACGAGGTCGCGCAATCGTTCCCACGCGTAACCGATCCGATCCGAGTCTTCGGGAACGTAGATATTGTCGACGCGCACCTATACAGTACTCCACGAGCAAGCAAACGCGCGCGTCCACGTACACATCGGGCATTAATTAGCTAATTTGCGTTAATTGACGATGGAGGACATTTCGCTACCGCCCCCCATAGCTTCCTTCGCGTCGCGCGTTTCCCAGGCCCCCTGGGGAAACGAGCACGTCATAATTAAGTTAGCACGCGGCGAGCGCACGCGCGTGCATTATTTTCTCGCGCGCGTCTCCTGAAAGGCCTGCGATGGAAAAAAAAGAAAAAAAAAAAAAAAAAAAAAAGAATCCGGGAAAACTCCTCGCTCCCTTTACCCCACTCTTGGCGTGGCTTCGTCCCACCTGTCGAGCTTTTTTTCTTTTTGTCCGGTGCTACTGAGCGCTCCGATACATTGCATATCCGTTTGCCGTTTGTATGTACAGGTACATAATATATGTAAGGTATAGCAAGGTTGCGCACGTGCTTGAATCATCAAAGTGGAAAGGATACCCAACAGTATACTTAATACCCGAATGATGTATCTTTACCGATACGATACCGATCTCGAACAAATATACCTACTTTTCGCGGGATCGAGATGTGGGAAAGAAAATATTGATCGATGCGTGTGAAAAAACGTGACTCACTTGTTGGCGACGGGTATCGTGGTCCAGTCGTAGCCCTGCAGCACTTTGGTGACTGCCGCGCTGATGCCCTCGGTGCCGTTGCTAGCTGGACTCCCACCGGCACTACCACCACTGTTACTGTTATTGTTGCGGACACTGTTATTGTTATTGTTGATTAAAATGGCATTGCCGATCCCCCCGTTCTTGACCGGCTCGCCCACACCGGCATCCGTGCTCATCATCATCATCATCGTACGGTTCTCCGTTTTCTCAATGCCTTGCCACGGGCACCGATATCGCCTCGGCGAGATCCACACGCGACCGGATGCTGCAAGCGAGAGCGCCTCTCCTCGGACGAATCAATTTCTCGCGCCCCGATGATTGATTGGGGAGCTCGGGCTGCTGCTGCATTGATTGCGCTTATCGGCAGTAACGTTCATCAACGGCATAATATACGTGTTTCATCGTGCATTCGATCGTAATAGCGCAGTCTTTGCTGAATCAAGAGAGAGAAATAAAAAGTGGGCGCTCTCTGCTTATTGAGCTTAGAGAATAAGAGATCTCACCTCTTACTAATTCACTGTACTTATCGAATCACACGGTTTCATCGCAACCGATTTATCGTTGATGATGACAACTTTTAGTCTAAGGTATCAGAGTCTTTGTTTTATCGTCCAACTATTTCACAAGCTTCTTGATTTTTAATAACCACTGGTTATACTCGGCACGGTAGAACAACGTAAAATCACAAGAGAAGCGCGTCGAGAGTTCTCACTCGGTCGATCGGAGCGCGAGTGCGAGGTGGTTGCGCGTCTGCTAGCTCTCGCCCCTGGGGCACAGTCGTCATATCTTCATCGCGCGTGTGGTACATGTATATACACGTATAGAGCCACGAGGATCTCTCGCTCTCGTGTCTTGGATATTACGTGCTGTGAGTGTGGACATACAGACGCACCGACTATTACTCACACGACTTTTCGAGGAGAGCGAGGGCGGGGCAAGAGTGAGAGAAATAAAAAGAGCACGAGGCGCACACTTGTTGCGCTTTAACCGTTTATAATAGGTCGTTGCTTTGGGAGAACCGATTTCCTATGGGGTTGCTCCGATTTTTCGTTCACCGTTCCAACCGATCTCCGAGACTTGAATATTTTAATCGGCACCCAAAGACCTTCTAATATACGATTTACCAATTTTTTTTCTCTTTTTTTTTAAACCGGTCGATTACGAATCGGTAAGTGGACCAGGTTTACTTACCGATTTCGTCTTATTAAACATTGATAAAAACATATAATTTACGAATCTATCGATTAAAAGCTATAGTTGAATAAATAAAAACGCCGATCGTCCCGATACCCCCTACGTGCTTCTCCAATCGATTAGACAAGTTACACCAGAACAAAAAGCCAAGTTTTTTCGTTGTCTTTATTTATTTGTTCGTGTCGCGTAAGTACATGTATAGCTTTACAATAGAGCAGAGCGCGTTAGATATCGTCTCCGTCGGCGAGGCAAAGTTACCATGGCTACGAGGAGCCGGGGAGGGAAGACCGCAGCGGTCCTCCTCCCTAGCTCCACCCACCGTTGCCCCCACTTTGGCGTCGTGGATCGGCGTCCATTGGCTAGCTCGACGTTACTGGGTACGGTTTATCATGCACACATATACCTTGACGGACACTCTCAATATTATATACTTATTAACATACCTAGCGGGTGCGTGTACCTATACTTTTGGCCTTTTTTCAATGTACCAATCGATAAAATGGTCAACTATCGAGACGCGTCGTGAGAACCTTAGTGTTAATTACTTGTGAAACGTGGTATCGATAAGACGTATATACGTTGATTTAAATGTCCCTGTATAAGCAAATGCATGCTCGTAAAAGTAACAAGGCGACATTGAAAAACCTAAAAAACGACGGTCAGCCAAGCACTTTTCTGAAACAGAAGAGATTAGCCAAAGTTTCAAATTCACGCGTCTCTCGCGCGACTTTTTTTTTTCCTCCGTCCCAAAACACATGACTTGCGTACGAGGAACTTTTTTTTTTCCTCAGACTCGAACGGCGGATCTCAAAGTCCTTTTTTTTTCAAACTCTTTACGGCCCCTTTGATTTACAAGGCGAGTGGCGTAGAGTGGGAGATATGTCGAGCGTCGGTGGTGAGTCTATCCTTTGCTTCCTCAATAAAAATCGGCGTATGGGCACATAGATCATCCTGTGGGACTATTTCAACTAGCGCGTGTGTGTAGTAAAAAAGCAAAAAAAGAAGAAAAAAAAAAAAGGGCAGCGGATTACGAAGCAGAGAGTGGCTCTACGCTCGTGTGTTTTGCTCTTTCGGAAAATAATGCCTTTTTACGAGGCTCCACATTGTAAATTCAAGTGTGTTGAAGCGCACGTTCAAAGCCTATGTGGTTAAAATCACTATTTTTTATAAAATTCGTCTTGATTCCCAAAGTTTATAAGAAGCTTAGGAACCTCCAAATGGACTCTATATTTACACAAGTTCTAACAAAATAAATATATCTTTGAACGGGACAAATCGGTGAATAGAAGAAGGCTGCAGAGTGAAAAACTTGGCTTGAAGCACCGATTTGGTTTTTATTAAAAACCAAAAAAAAAAAAAAAAAAAAAAAAAAATAACAATCATACTACGTGTTTCAAACGTGTATCATGGTAGGAGAGCAATAATTCTAATTCGGATAATGTCGCGATGTTAGTTATAAAATTTACAGTATTAAAGAGACAACAAAATCTGTTGCGTGGAGTGCAAATCGGACTTGCCGAGTCGAGTGCCATTTAATTTCCCTTGCATCATCGCCAGGCTGTAGTGGCTTTTAGTATAACAGCTGCGTGACTATCGAGGGCTCGTGAAAAAAAAAAAAAAAAAAAAAAAAATCAAATAGCACGTCTAGCCAGCTATCGATGTTGTGGCTATTTTTTTCCATATTTTCGATAGCACACGTGCGTACACACATACATGTCGAAATCTCTGAAAAGTTATACGAGTTGAAGGATTAAGCAATAATTATTGCATGTTGTACCACTTAACATTGGTTCGGTCTACTCATATCTATAAATCTTATATTTTTATCCTAATAAAAAAAATTATAGGGGAAACGAAAAACAAAAAGTGATTTCACTTTATTCGTAAATTTACTCATGTGAATGAAATTAGAATATAGTCACTCGAGTAGCTCGAAATGAGCTCCAATACGAATTTAAATTATTTTTGGCCAGATCAACCTACAATGACTCGTTCCCGCAAAAACCTTGGTTTTTCTACACTCCACGATTTTTCAAATAACATATATGCGTGTATAGGTACCACCTACAATTTTATACTTATGTATACGTATACTCATACTTGTAGACGCAGCATCACCACGTAATTATATACAGGGATACATGACTATTCGATTTCCGACGTGCGCGCGGGTCCCTCGAGTGCCGATCTCTCGAGCGGCGACGATGATGATTGATAAAACGTTGTTCGTGGCACGCGCGTTTCGATCGCACACGAGCTTTTTACGTATACCTATACCTATTGAATATTATATACATGTGAATCGGTATACCTGCGTGTATGTGATATTTGTACGGACGATGCGGGTGTCCCGCGTGCAACTGCCCGATGAGAACGGCCCATTTTCGTCCTCTCTCTCTCGATTAGATTCACACTCGGAGTTCGGAGTTGTTGCGGTGCTTTTGTCCTCTCTCCACTCTCTGTCGTCATCCCGATCGGCCACGCATCAGCCTAACTTTTTAACTTGATGTTATAATTCAGACCCACTGAGATGTAGGTATATATTATACGCGTGTCCTTAAACACGCATATTGTTTCTCTCTCGTGGCAACGAATAAATTAAACTTTAACAGTCATATAAACCATATGCCCTCAATTGTAATAAATCGGTAATGGGGTAGAGTCTCCAAAGTGGTGAATCCTGTATAATATACATACAGATAAGAAAAATCATATAGGTATGGGGGGGGGGGCACAGAGGTAGATACGCGTATAGGGGTATTATACACATGCGTACAAAGTAAAAGAGATCTAATAAGTATCACTAATGAGTCGGTTATTGGTATACCCGACCGAGCGCGTGTATGTACAACGTCCGTGCCGATGACTGGGCGGATTCGCGGCAGACACCGGCGGGGGGTCCTCTCCTTTTCTCTCCGTCCGACAACTGTACCTCACGAGAGCACGTATACATACGCAGGTGAATGTACGTTCATGTATATACACACGATTGGGAGTTTGGTCGTCCCAACGTTGTACAACGCGTGTCTCGGGGGGCGCCCGCGGCTACGCGGTTTATTCTTCTTTCTTTCATGTCCGACCGACGGACGGCGCGGAGAAACTATGCCCCTCTGCTCGAAAAAGACGACCCGGTTGTACCATACCATAGTTTCCCAGCCCTATAGGTGTATTATATAGAGTCGACGAGAGCTCCTGGGAACGAATTTTGTTCTTTTTCGCAATAGCGACCGAATAGACTATGGTCATTACGATACACTCGAGTCTCGGAAAAAGCGATTGTCACGGTATATGGTCCGTCGCGGGATCGCCAAAAATACACCCACCGGAGACAAGAGAAAAAGATAAACAAAAGATCCGGGCGCGAGTGTTTACGCGACCGCGGAAAGGGAAGGGAGACCCCGGGAATCAATATTATTCTTCGCGGCTAATTCCAGAACACAATGGCACCGGCTTGTACAACCTTCGATCCTCGTTCCTCGTTGCCGATCTTCAGGCAGGACTCGTGGTTTGATTACACACTGTACGCAAATAGCGCTCGAAAAGCCCACCACCCCTCGAAACGACTGTGCAACAAGAGTGAGGAAAGGGAAAAAAAAAAAAAAAAGAAAGAAAAAAAAAGTGTAGTTAACGATCGGCGCGCGGGATCGGGCGCGAGCTCCACTATCGGGCAATTAAAACGCGATAAATCAGAGCTACGACGATCGGTGGTGTATCGTTCACGAGGGGGGATCTGCTTAAGAGCAAAACTTATGGCGCACAATACACACGCGTTTGGGACAAAATCAGGGCTTGGAGCGCTTGCACCGAGCC